GCATCACCGGTCATGATCGTACCTGCTTGCAGCCGCCGAGGCCTCGAGCCTCGAGGACTGATACGAGGCAAATGCTGCGTTTACACTTCACCGGTCATGATCGTACCTGCTTGCGGCCGCCGAGGCCTCGAGCCTGGAGTTTCCCTGCTGCATTGAGGGGTTCATTGCAGCGACTGCTACGCCGTTGCTCCCAACCTGGCTGGAATCGTCTCTCAGTCGGCCACGCGGGCGAACCTGTGTGATAAGCTGGAACCTGAGTCCGCCTCTGTGACCCGAGGACTGCCTGCGGCGATCGGCTGGACCGGCCGGGTCAACCGGCGGCACGGCCGATGTGGTGAGAACATGCAGAGCGGACGCATCGGGCGGGCCCGCCAATAAACACCAGCAGCGCGGTCGGCGGGACCAGGCCGGAGCCTATTCCGGGCCACCCGTGTGTTGCTGTGAGCTTACGCGAGGCATCACCACGTCAGTCAGTGGAGCGGAGGCGGCGGCGGAGCATCTGGCTGTCCTGCCGAGAGACAGCACGTGGAGGCAGCGGCCCAGGACCGGCAGCAAGCGCGGGAGAGATGCGCGATTGACGGAACGCCTTCCAATGTTGTGCACACCTGCATTGTAAGATTACCAGGTACGCACCGTTGCACAAGGCGAGGGAGAGCCGCCAACACGCACTGAAGGCGATTTGCCATCAGCGGCTCTGGCATCCGCTCCACACCTAGTATCGGGCGCATCTCTGCGAGAATTCTCCGTGCGGACGGAAAAATTCAGTGGTCTCTGTAAACTGGGACGAATGGCTAGCTTACCTCTGGAGAAACAAAAGACGGCACTGATCGCATTTCTCGATGGCGACTTCGTAAGGCTGGTGAAATATTCACTGGATGTTGACCTGACCGCTGCAGTCGTCACCACTGATGCACCTGGCCGCTGCAGTCGTCACCATTGCAGTCGTCACCACATTCTGGACATATCGGTGAGCATTTACGTAAACATGCAAACGTGATCCTGGATCGTCGCAAATTATTTTTTGCGGTCCCAAGCGCCGGGGAAATCGTTCATTGATTTCCTGGCCGCAGTCAAAGAGATGCACGAATTTTGTAATTTCTGTGACTGTGGCTAAGACAACCAGCTCCGCGACAAAATAGTCACTGTCATACGAGACACCCGTGTGCGGGAGGAACTTCTGGCAGGTAAATCGTCTGCAGCCGTCAGTTCCGGCTCACTGCCGAGCCTTAGCCGCAGAGCGGCAGGGAGCCGCTGAATAGCGCGAGCAGACTCGTGCTCAAGCAGCCAGACAAGCTCGTGGAGCGGCACGGCGGCACCGCAAAACCCATGTACAGCATTCGGGTCGGAGCGACCATTGACGCGCAGAATCCATGCACGAGCCGGTGGGACCGGAGTGGTGTGGTCACCGGGGTCGAAGATCACCGTCACTGTCTCGTGAAAATTACCTACTGGGCGCATCATCTGACGTAACGGACGATTTCTGCGTGTTTATCGCCCATTGCTGCCGAGTTCGTGTGTCCCGCACGACGGGAGAACCCCTAGTGCGAGCCCGTCTACAAGGCGGAAGTCCGCGCCGCGGCCGTGACGGTCAAGTTCCAAAGCATGTGATGTTCAATCTCGACGGTCCAGTGGCTTCCCCTGCCACAGATCCCAACAAAACATGTGAGCCGGCGCGTTTACGCCGCAGTGAGAGAGTGTGCCGCGCTCCGGTCTCGTGGATCCCCGGCTGCAGTCGTATAATTGGTTTGACGGCCACGATTGGTGTGTTGTTTCCATACCTGCCGAACACTTGCGTTACTCTGTTGAGATCGACCGCAGGTAGTATTCAGTTTGCATTTATTTCTTGTTTGTTAACCGCTAAGTATGTATGTTAACTGGTGCGCATTTCTACATGCTTAACAGTTCGCTGTAACATTTATATGGCGTGCGTGACTTGTCCGTAAAGAAAATGTTGTAACTTCATGTCGGCGTCACAACGATTTTGGAGAAGGTGTGATAACCTGGCACCTGAGTACGCCTCTGTGACCCGAGGACCGCCCACGGCAACCGCCGGGCCGGCTGCGCCCACCGATAGCACGGGAGAGGTGGTGAGGAGGACACGCAGAGTGGACGCATCGGGCGGGCTCACCAATCAACCTATCAGCCAGGAAAACAAGCTGTTTCATGCGTATATAGGGGCGGCAAAAGCAAACCCAAGAGTCCACCGGGTCATGGTGCCCAGTTGAACAAAAACTTGCGCTCCTTGACTTTGAAGACAGACTGGCAGTCTTTACTGCGGGAAGTTTGCCTTAAAAAGACATGTCTATGGATCCCAAGACTGGATCCAGGATCCCATAGGTTTTGTTAACATGATCCTGGGATTCTTTGGGGGGGGGGGGGAGGGACTCAAGGAACATTGCTGCCTAGAATACTCCCGGCGGTAAAGGAGACTAGTTCCGGTAGGTTTCTGAAAATCGGATTTTTTGAGGGTGTGAATTTCGCTCTCGTGGTCCCAGATGGCGTTGGCCCCTTCCAATGTTGTCTCCTGGATCCGCCACTGAGCGCGGCAAGGCGCCGAAAAAGAATAACGTGACTGCTAAGGAAGTGCATGTGTGATGTTCGTCAGAGCGTACCTGTCACATGTCCGTGACTCGTGCGCTAGCATCCAGCTGTGCCTGTGAGTTAGAGTACGCGGAGGCGGGAGCGGGGAGTAAACCGTGGCGAAAAGGAGGCGCTTTAAGAAGTGGGTGAAAATATTGGCGATTTCGTTTGACGGCATGCAATTAGGTTTGGTTCACATCATAACCCAAGACGAAAAATCCTGGATCTGAGTTAACTTGATGGGAAATGACGTAGGCCGGCACCTACTGGCGCGTGCTGGTAACATCCCAGACGAGGAACTGAGGAAGTCCTGAGCAGAGCCAGCAGCGCGCCACCTGCCTCCGATGCGCCGTTAGATGAAGTCCTGGCGGCCGGGTGCCGCGAGGTGAAGTGGTAGTGTGGTTTGGTGTTAAAGGGGGCGTCGGCTGCATGTGGTTATGCAGCGCTCATAGCCGTATTATGCAGCCAAATCGTGATTCAAACGGGTTGTTGATGTCTTAAAAAGAGGCAACCTAAAGGAGTAGTCAAGCGTGGTGTAATGGTGCAAAATAGCACGGCAAAACCTAGAGTAGAGAAAATCTGAAAAAGGCTTTCGAGTTTCGAGAGCGTCAAATTCATCACTTAAGCTGTCGGCCAGTGTAAGATTCGGGGCGTTCCGCCCAAAAACCACGCCCATGTTTCAACTAGGCCAGGACAGGCGACCAACGTGTGATGCAGTTAGCGGGCCGCCACATCGAGGGTAGCGTGGGTTATCATCAGCAAGCAGCGGCAGACGGTGGGTGGCCTAAACGTGTCCCATGCGTAGACGGCAGAGAGCAACTTCACCTCTTCTTTCTTTATGGAAAGACGGCTGCCGCAGTCCGATGCGAGGTCTGACGAAACGGACACTTGCAGTCGAGCACGCCGTCAACGGGCTGAACACGTCGAAGCGAAACAGTACGTCGTCTTCACATATTTTTACTCAAATAGCCACTTCGTTGACAGCATTTTATCGTCGACACTTGCATGACCAAGCGGAGCTTGATAGTGATATTGTCCACTGTCACCAAATCGACTAATTTTAACATGTATCACGTGCATCTTCGCATATCAGGTAAGACGAGGTCCCTTGTCTACGTGCGAACGCGGGAGCACGCGCTGATAAGGACGACCACACTATGCGTACAAGCGACGTTCAGCCTGTAAATTATCGCTGACGTCATTCACTGCGTGCGCAGAGATTTCGCGGGGCCTCAAATGCACGCGGTAATTAAACGAGTGTTCCTCACATGCACCGCAGGACGTTCTCGTGCAACAGGCGCTCGTTTTAAAGGTCGGTTTTTAATCACATCCCACGACAACACGCCACCGCGAACCACCGACGCTACCACTAATATCCCCGCGCCACATACTAACTAGCGTCCACACGCGCAGCTGAAGGTCAGCACGCTCGGCAACAGAATAGGCACGGACCGCGCACGAGGTCACCAGCACACGTGCGTCTGATTAGAGGGCGCCGGCTGGCCGCGACTCCTCTCCCACGCCAGTACTCCCTGCCATGATATTATTATCACGCATATAAAACATAGAACACACTTCGTGTGCGGCGATGGACTGAATAAAAGGTGCTTGAGCGACGATTTTCGCCGCAGGCGACTGCAAAAGCGCGAGGCGTGCACAGCAGGGACATCATTTCTATGGGGTGCATTCAATCGAGGGAAGCAATTCTTGTGACAACAGTATTGCTCGTGACATGGGAGAGACGACAGCACTACCTTGTACTAAGGAAGCCCGCAACGACCCTGGCTACGTATTCCGACGAGATTGGCCCTCTACGAAGGCCATCTTGCGGTTTTGACATCTAATCTGCGCGCACGGCTGCCCCTCTCCCTCCCCCAGGCATCCCACACCGGAGGAAATCGAGGACCGCCGGCCCAGTGCGCCGGCGCACGGGGCGTTAAAGCCACCGGTCCCAGAATACCGGACACCACTCGCGGCTGCACAGCACTGCGTGAAGGCAACCGATAACGTAACAGCCCGCGCCACCTCCCGGTGTCGCTCACCTCTCGCCGGACAGTCGGCAGACACGCCGACAGCCAACCAGGCACCGGCCGACGGTGGGAACGGTCGGAGCCCCACAGCGTAGGTTCGCTCTGTTCTGTTCGTTCGTTCTTATCTGTTCGTTCGTTCGAATGCTCCCGGCTCGTCCGTCGACGGCCGCGGCGCGTTCCTTTGGTACATGCTTCAGGCGTGGCAGGCGCGCGCGCGCAAGGCGCTAGGCCACGCCGTCACGCCGGAGACGAGACGCGACGGATCATGCCGCCGCGTCACGCACCGCTCACGTGACGTTCCTCGTACTCGACCCGGCCGTCACGTGTACCTGCCGCCCGCCCGGCAGGCGGCCGTGTCTCGCCTCCGCCCGCGCGGGCTCGCGTCACGCG